CAACTTCTTGAAATTGTGGATTTCAAAAGTAAGAATAAAAAGTAATCAAAGAAAAGGCACAGAAAATTTACAGAGAATATGCCTAACTTAAAAACCTTTCTCAGTGATTTAGGCAATGAGACTTGGTATGATGTTTACCACTTACCAGTCATCTGTAGATAAAAAGTATGATGCATTCTTTTCTATTTTTAGATACATTTTTGATGTTTATTTTCCCAAAGTTTTAATAGCAGATAGTGGATATAGTAAATGTAAATTGAATTCAAAGATATTATAAAAAAAAGAGTGAGATAACTGAACTGGAAAAGCTAGGATAAGAAAAAATATTGACACATAAAGATAGAAGGTTAAGAAAAAGGAACTAAAGAGTCAATACACCAAGCCAAACAAATATTTTATAATGAGAAAATGAAACACTCTTCTATTCTAATAAAACTAAAGCAACGTGGAACATGATTAAAAGTGAAATGGAAATGGAAAAGCTTATCTTGCCACACATTTTGCGCCGTAACTACACAGCACTCCTAGCGGTGGGCGCCGGAACCTACCTTTGACAGTATATATTTATTCTATTTGTCTATGGTCATATTAAGGAAAATTTCAGAATTCATTCTCAAAAACTGCCTGTTTATAGAAATTGAAGACGAGCAATAAACGCCTGAAACGCACGAACAACTGTTTCTGGCAGTGGTTTGAGATAGTTGACTGTAGAACAATTTGCTTCAAAACAATGTGTTTAATAATTATGTTAAACGAGGTGTTAGCCCGTCCTTCGTACGGGAATTCAGTACCGGTAGTCAGTTAAAACCGTGTACAATTCAGATCAGCTAGTTTACACATAAAGACAAAGTTTCTTGCAGTTTTAATGTGAAAAATCATCTTGTAAACAAATGTTGTGTGACCAAATATTTTTTTATTCCATCATAGGCCTATACGATATGCATTTTAAATCCGATAATTTTACAATAAAACAGCAATTCTGCAATGTTTACGATGTGAAAAGCGTTGAAATGAAATTTGCAGCCGATTCGCACAGACGCACACTGATTATAAGTAGGCCTACAGTAGAGAGTAATAGTCAATTGAGAAGTGTATAGACCTAGTCAACGATACCACCTTCGATACTTACTTACTCCTTCTCCTTCTTCATCTTTTACCCAAAAAGGGATAGATTGCGTCTCGACAAAAAAATAGCATAGGTACCTGCCTCTTCCATAATTATTATCACCACAATACAACTACTATACACAATTTCCAGTAGGTCTGAATGAAACGACCTAAAATAAAACGATAGTATCCGATACCATTCACAGTACACACAATTTAACTTTGGTGTCCTAACATCAAAAGTAATCATCACACCTATCCTTTATATCAATGTCACTGCATTAATTGCTAAATAAATAAGTGTAAACAAAGAAAAGTAAAAACAATAACAGTTTGTTTTGAAACAGCTGTTTGGTTCAAATAACATTCATTTGAAAAAAGAACTTGTCACATGTAGCAGGAATATAAAAAAAGTAAACACGCTAGTAAAGCTAATGACGTAATTGTCAATGTTTACTATCCATACCGTATATCAGTTCTATCCTTGATAATTACCCACCCTCATTGAATAAAAAATATATTTATAGTTGAAATAAAAGTGATAATTTCACGTTTGGGGGCGCTGATATAGGCACCCCCAAACGTAACCACGACTGAACACGATTTCATAAAAGGATGGTTTGTCTAATTGTAGTATCCTAGGTCAATGTTGACGTTGTGTTCAATCTATGTCATCCATCTGTTTATCTTTGTATAAAACCCGGCTGAGGTTGTGGTGGTAATTTAAAATCGTGATTCCTGATTATTCTTGATCTTCTTTTTATGACATCAATATTTGCGGGCCTAATCCAAACAAAGTTAAAGCAGACAAACATTAATTGTAAACAAAAAGCTACCATGAAGAATTAAAACATGTAAACATTTTTATTTTTCTAATCTTTCCTTGAAAAGTGGAGCAGTAAAATAATTTGCATCTATCCTTTTTTATTAAGACTCGTGTACAGAGCCTCGATTTGTACTGTGGTTTAATTTATTTTGGTCTAAGCTATTTTAAACTGTGGTCTAATTATCTCTACTAATCTTACTTATTTCCTATAATTAATGACAAAATAAGAGTAAATAAAATAACCTAATAGTTCCATAGTTTATATTTAAGGGGATACGCCACTATCTCCAACTTTTTTTTATTATTTTATTTTTGTCAACCTAGTTAGTATATTTTGTTTATACTAGACTTAGTTAGAAGATTTAGGTACAAAAATATTGAATTTATAACTTATTTACTAAATTTATATGCGTTTTTAGTTTTTTTCACCAAAATTTTTAAGAAGTCGTTATTGAGAATAACTTTTCAACTACTGATCGGAATGACATATTCTATTTATTTCCTGATTCAGGATGAAATAATGAGTATTTCTGTGTATAATCGTTATGGTAACTAAAAAAACAAAATTTTTAGGACACCTTTTATTCAAAATATAAAAGAGCTGAAAAAAATATTTAAAATTTTTGCGTAAACATAAATATTTTTAGTAAATGTAATGCTATAGGGCTTACTATACACACAATCCTTTATTACTATATAAAGAAGGTCTGGTGAAAATTTGAATACTATAAGTATAGTACTAACGGAGTTATTCAAACTTTTGTACAATAATAACCTAAAAAACACGGTATTGAGATAATCGCAGGTGATGTAACAGGTGGTTGACAGGAGAAAAATTCCCATAACTACACTAACTTATTATTTTATATTATATATAAAAATAGCAAAGTACTTATTTTGTTTTAAATAAATGTACCCTACTTTATAACTCCATAATACATAATTATGATACACAATTAAAAGTGTACATATCAGGAACAAAAAAAATAGTTCAAAATTTTGTTAAATTGCTGGTTGCGGCGTTTAATATTTTATTTTTTTTATACTAGAAGGAGTTGTCAGATTGGCAAACAATTTTAGCTAAATGTTCACATTTAAATGACCTATCTAAAAATGCAACTTTTGGAAAATGTAAAAAAAATATAAAATATGGCCTACAGATAGTGGCGTATCCCCTTAACCAGCTGTTAGTTAAAACAAATTATATTGCTTTAAAACAAATCGAAGATCACAAAGATTGCTTTAAAAAATAATTTGAACATCCTAGTATTTTACTATGTATATTTAATTAATCTGTCATACTCTTACAGAAGAATTGAACATACCAATGATTAGCATTACACATAGTATAAATAAGTCAACCCTAAGTATGTCTTTACATTTTTATCCAAATGCTGAATTTGTGACACAAAAGCTGAATGTTTACAGCTGTTATGTTAAGCACATTATTTTATGCCAAAAGCTAGTTTAGAATCTTAGCGTCGGCTGCTAAACTTTTAAAAAATTAAAACTTAATTTCTAAAAAACTGGGACCCTAAACTAAAATTATGGCTTCGACATTCCCTAGTTTTCAAAATTATTTCTTTCAACACAAAAATCATGAAAATCCGTCGAGTGGTTGATTCAGAATCGTGAAATAAAAAAACACTGTTTCGTTTTAATATTATAGATAGACTAGCTGTAACCCGCGGGCTTTGCCCCGTTTAACTTCTTAATTTTCAAGATTATCTCGTTCGCATGGCTCAATCACGTCCTGGTTGAAGTTCGTTCGCTACGCTCACTCACCTTTAGGTTGGAGCTCGTTCGCTACGCTCACTCACCTTTAGGTTGGAGCTCGTTCGCTGCGCTCACTTGCCTTCAGGTTAGCTCGTTCGCTACGCTCACTTGCCTTCAGGTTAGCTCGTTCGCTACGCTAACTCGCCTCCAGGTTGAAGTTCGTTCGCTACGCTCACTCACCTTTTGGTTGCAAATTAGCTGTTGTCATAAATGTAAAAGAAATAATAGTGCTGCACCCTGTTGGTAATCCTTGTAACTTTAATGCTATTGAACATCATAGAACAGAACCAACTTGTTTAATTGAAACAGCTGTTAAGATTCAATAATTCCATTTCTCATAAGGTTAACATGGGAAACTCCAGAGCCACTGGGGCGGAGCCCGAAAGGATTTTTGAAATAAGAATATGCCTATATGTTAATCGGGAATGTGAGCTATCATCATGCCAAATTTCAGCCCAATCCGACCAGTATTTTTCGCGTTCACTTGTCACAAACATACATCCATACATCCAAACTTTCTCATTTATAATATTAGTAGGATGTACAAAATTTAAGAAAACAAACCTCATAAGGTATTGGTGACGGTGACAACTAATTGCGCAATTCTCGATCAAAGTAGTCAAGTGTTTAAAAAGTTACATCTGCTAATCGTATGGATCCATGCAGGATTATTTCTGCTTGAATTGCAAAATCTGGCTAAGATTGAGAAAATATCAATTGGTTTAAGTTCAAGGTCGGGTTCAACAACAGTGGGTCCACCAGATGACATTAGCAGTAGCATGCAACCACGGGAAAAATACTGATAGGTACAAAGGATATGTATGTAATGTCCACATCTTTACTTATGAAACTTGTTATAGATGCTCATAGTTCTGATCGAAACTGATAAGTTAAATATTGATGAAATAGTTGAATTTTGTATTACTGTAGCCTATATCTATTTTTTTATTTATTGCTTTATTAAAAACTAAGAAACGTGATCACTCTGCTTAACTGGCTTTTACTGCTATGAAAGAAATCCTAGTTGAATAGGTCTTTATGAGCTGAAAAATACATCAAGTAGCAAAGTGGTTTTGTTAAAATTATTTCTGTGACCACTTGAATACGAATTTGATCAACTTTAAGTTTAATAAATTTTTCACTGGAACATTTAAAACTTGTTTGCAAATTTTAAGCCATGTCCTCGTTTTAATAAGGTTGAAAAATATATCACTTTTAGTCGGTACTCTGGAATGAACGTATGTGTCTTTAACGTCCCTTTCAAATCAAAGGAGAACATTAAGGACAATCATGGCTATAAATAATTTAATACAAGATTGTTATAATGAAATGTAAATTTCCTGCATGAACTTATGGATGTTTCTTAATTTTGATATTGTTTGTGAAGGATTTCCCTCGTGTAGTGCACTTTTAAGGTCGCTCTCGAGTATGAACCAATGTATGATTCTTCAAATGGGTTTTTGTTCTAAAGGATTTTCCACATGTATCACACTTATAAGGTAGTTCTCCAGTATGAACCATTAAATGTTTCTTCAAGTCGGATTTTGTTTTACAGGATTTTCCGCATGTAGTGCACTTAAAAGGTCGCTCTCCATTATGAACCAGTTTATGTCTTGTCAATTTGTGATTGGCTGTAAAGGATTTTCCGCATGTAGTGCACTTAAAAGGTCGCTCTCCATTATGAACCAGTTTATGTCTTGTCAATTTGTGATTGACTGTAAAGGATTTTCCACATGTATCACACTTATAAGGGCGCTCTCCTTGATGATCCAGCATATGTTCCCTCATCTGACTTTTGGATAGAAAGGATTTTCCACATGTAGTGCACTTATAATAAGGTCGCTCTCCAGTATGAACCAATGTATGATTCTTCAAACTGGCTTTTGCTCTAAAGGACTTTCCACATGTTTCACACTTATAAGGTCGCTCTCTTACATGAACAAGTGAATGTACCTTCATATTTCCTTTGGTTATGAAGGATTTTCCACATGTGCTGCACTTATAGGGTAGCTCTCCTTGATGAACCTTTGAATGTGTATTCATATACTTTTTGGTTATGAAGGATTTCCCACATGTAGTGCACACATAAGGTCGCTCTCCAGTATGAACCAAAGTATGTCTCTTCAATTCGTTTTTATCTTTAAATGATTTTTCACATGCATCACATTCATAAGGTCGTTCTCCAGTATGATCGAATGTATGTCTTTTCAATGAGAATTTGGCTGTAAAGGCTTTCCCACATATATCACACTTATAAGGTCGCTCTCCACGATGAACCATTGCATGTGTCTTCATGTGGCTTTTAGTAATGAAGGATTTTCCACATGTAGTGCACAAATAAGGGCGCTCTCCAGTATGAACCAATGTATGATTCTTCAAATCGGTTTTTGCTCCAAAGGACTTTCCACATGTTTCGCATTTATAAGGTCGACGATGAACCTTTGTATGTTCCTGCATACGGCTTTTGGTTAGAAAGGATTTTCCACATGTAGTGCATTTATAATAAGGTCGCTCTCCAGTATGAACCATTAAATGTTTCTTCAAGTCGGATTTTGTTGTACAGGTTTTTTCACATGTATCACACTTATAAGGGCGCTCTCCACGATGAACCATTGTATGTACCTTCATATGGCTTTTGGTTAGAAAGGATTTTCCACATGTAGTGCATTTATAATAAGGTCGCTCTCCAGTATGAACCATTAAATGTTTCTTCAAGTCGGATTTTGTTGTATAGGTTTTTCCACATGTATCACACTTATAAGGTCGCTCTCCAGTATGAACCAACGTATGGTTTCTCAATATGTAATTTTCTGTAAAGGATTTTCCGCATGTGTCACACTTATAAGGTCGCTCTCCACTATGAATCATTCTATGTTTTTTCATACAGCTTTTGTTTAAGAAGGATTTTCCACATGTAGTGCACTTAAAAGGGCTCTCCCAAGAGTGTGTCAACAAATGACTCTTCACTTGATAATGACGGATAAAGGTTTGATCACATATCAGACATTTAAAGGGACGCTCACCCGTATGTTCAAATAAATGATTTTTCATTTTCTTCCGAGTTGCAATGATTATTTCGCAAAATGGGCACTTATATGGAAGCTTTTTAGTCATCTTTAACATTTTTTTACTTTTCACTTTCTAACATTGTGTAACTAGATCATCTAGTAACTAAATAGATGACTTAACTTGTCTGTATGCTTTGTATCTCCATTCAAATGTTTCCCTTGTTTGTAGGATTTGTTAAATAATTATTAGTTACATAGAGATTTCTTTTGATTTTTAGACATCTATTGCTCAAATCTTGTTACCGATGTGATGAAGATATTATAAAATCTTGCAGAATAAATGTTATTTGTAACATAAATTTAATTTTTACTGAGCTAATTCTTGATTTTAATTTCTTCTTTATAGTGTTTAAAAATATAATAACTTTTTTAGCTGTTGTTTAAGTATTATATAGGATAATTTATGGCGCTTTACTGTGATGCACTTATGTTCATTTTCCATATGTCTGGGAAAGTCTACTGCCACTTCTGAAAAAATGTCATACTTTATTAGGCATTTAAATTTGTTATGACACATTTATTTATCCCTTCAATAATTTATAACAACAATTTAAAATAAACGGTATCAGCATTCTGACACATACTTTCTTCCATAAGTTTGTCAACAACCTTTATCAAGAGCAAGCAGTGAGAGTAAATATACGGAAATGGGATTAGTACAATTTTGTTCAGAATTTAAAGTACTAAATGTGTATCAAAATCGTTCGGGCCATTTTTGGGAAAATCCGATTTTTCTGTTATTTTATGGGAAAATAACATAATTTACAATAATTTTTAAACCATAATTTTTACAGAAATGGGATTTGTACCATTTTGTTCAGAATATAAAGGACTATAACATACAAAATTTTTATCAAAATTGTTCGGGCCGTTTTTGGGAAATCCTATTTTTCCGTTATTTTATGGGGTTTTATGGGAAAATTCCCATTAAAAATAAAAAATTTTTAAAATGAAAAAAACTATCAAAACTTTAATGATCATATCATACTATGTTAAAATAAAACCGGATTTTTTTCTAAAATCCCATTTTTTGTTATTTTATGTGGTTTTAATGGGAAAATAACATAATTTACCATAACTTTTGAACCGCAATTTTTACATAAATGGGATGTGTACCATTTTGTTCAGAATTTAAAGGCCTACAACATACTAAATTTTTATCAAAATTGTTCGTGCCATTTTCGAGAAAATACTATTTTTCTGGTGTTTTATGAGTTTTTATGGGAAAATCCCCATTAAAAATCAAAATTTCAAATAAATGAAAAAAAAACGTCTAGAGATACCATGGATTAGAACCTACATTTCAAATTTCATCGAAATCGGACCACAGGTGTAGTCCCTAGCTCTGTACACATCCAGACACACAGACACACACACACACAGACATCACTTCGAAAACCACTTTTTTAGGTCCAGGATGACCCAAAACGAATATATCCACTCAAAACTCAAACTCAAAAATTTTGACGAAAACAATACTTTCTCCATATACTATGGTATAGGGGGAGAAAGTAAAAATACAATAGTTTATACTAGCTCATAAATATGTCTTCCTTCATAACTGTCTTCCTGAAAGGCTTAAAAGTCTGGAAAGTTCCCTTCTATTCAAAACGAAACTGAAGCGTGACTTGAAAAATCAGGCGTTCTATTCGGTTGATGAGTTCACTGCACACCGTTGGAGTTAAGGGCCACAGTATTATATTCCCCAGGGGTTATGAGTTAAATATTTTAAGGCTTTCTTGATAAATGTATAATGTTTTTTAGTTTTCCTCCGTTTCTTAAATGTATTGATTTATTTGTTTAAAGTTAAATTTAATTTAAAGTGTGATTTTATAAAATAACCTCTATGCAATTATAAATATTAGAATCACACAATGAAAAAATATGCTACACAATGTAAAAATTGTCAATAGCAATAAATAAATAATATCTAATGATCCAAAATCGTGGTGGTACATGCCTATCAAAATTATATCAGCTAAATAAGTATAACATATATTCTAAACTCTTTCTGAAGTATCTTAAACCTCAAACCTCCAAGCCAAAATTTTTTCACTTCAAACAATCTTAGCTGACCGTGGAATCATTAGAAAGGGTCATTATATCCTATTAAATTTAGAATTAAAATATACACTGTGAGCAAAAAGTTTAAAAAAATATTTTTCTCCTCTGTATGTTGGTGGCATTTTTGGAGGAGATCCAGGGAGATCCTAGTAGGCTATCCTCCCTACTTCGCATCTAATCTGTTGGGATAATTCGTCCAAAGAATGACGAGTGCTTAGCCTTGTTTGGTGAGTAGTTGGTTACATTACTTTACTGAAATGTGAAATATCTTCTATCTATCTATCTACTGTATATTATTAATACGCTACACAAAACTTGGTGAACAATGAGGCTTTTTTGTTTTAAGATTTGACCTCACATATTAAATACCAAAATGTTCGTCGTGTGTAGATTTACAAACTGATTTTATTCATGTTGAAGCCTTCCGGAATTGGTAATCAATTATAACAGTTTACGTACCTTGACGTCCACAATTCCTTAGTCGGTATCCGTTGACTATAGTTTCGACTACTACGTAGTCATTATCAAAAACGGAACGTTAAAATATTACATTTGTTGAATGTTGTCAAATCTTAAATACATTGAACACACAAACAAATATAACACGAACACGGTAGACATTTAACATAATTGGCCGGCCGGCACACGTCACTGAACTGGTCGACGACGATGACTCTGTTATGACTCTGACTGTGAGTCAGTTCATATATTATATTGTTTTTGTCATACTGCAGTAAAAACTGTTGTTTTTAATGCATGCGTTGCGGGTCTAAAGTAGCATTTTTACTCTTTAGGGAGTAAGTAAGCTCCGGACATCTTTAGGAGTCTTTTACTCCCATAGAATTTTATAAATGTGGATACCTAAATCTAATCGTCATAAACAGTTCCCACACACCAGACAGCTCGCATTGACTACTTCCTTCGTCACTTCCTACGTCTCGGACCTGTTTCCCTCCCTTCCCTTAGCATTATTGGATTGCAAATACCTTAATCTATTGGTCATAAACAGATCTCACACTCCGAACAACTCGCCTTTACTACTTACTTCACTACTGTCAAGGACCTGTTTCCCTCCCTTTCCATAGCATTTTAGGATTGCAGATACCTTAATCTAATCGTCATAAACAGTTCCCACACTCTAGACAGCTCGCATTTACTACTTCCTTCACCACTTCCTACGTCACGGACCTGTTTCCCTCCTCTTCCATAGCGTGTTAGGATTGCAGAAACCTTAATCTAATCGTCATAATCTACCACACTCCGGACATCTCGCCTTTACTACTTCCTTCACCACTTCCTATGTCACGGACCTGTTTCCCTCCCTTTCCATAGCATTTTAGGATTGCAGATACCTTAATCTAATCGTCATAAACAGTTTCCACACTCCGGACAGCCTTAACAGCTGTTTCAATTAAACAAGTTGGTTCTGTTCTATGATGTGCAATAGCATATAAGTTACAAGGATTACCAACAGGGTGCAGCACTATTATTTTTTTTTTAATTTATATGACAACAGCTAATTTGCAACCAAAAGGTGAGTGAGCGTAGCGAACGAACTTCAGCCATCAGGACGTGATTGAGCCATGCGAACGAGCTCACTTATGAAGTAAAACGGGGCAAAGCCGCAGGTACAGCTAGTTTGAAAATAAATTTATGAATAAAGCTAATACTCCAGCATTATCACAAACACACCGTCGTGAATATTCTACTTTAAAATCAATCAAAGACAAATTATAAGTAAACAATGCTAACAATGCTAACAACCCAAATTATCAAATTTTCTGCCAGAAATGAAAGTGTAACGAGCCTTTTTCCTAGGGGGGTATACTTTCGCTATTTGGCCGCGTACCGATTGTAGAGGTAAGCAAGCGGCGGCGGCGAACCTGGCTAGCGCCCTTTGACCCGGCTTATCAGTTCGGATAAGCTTGGGTATCCCGGGACTACTGGATAGCCGAGCAAGGACATTCTAGTCGTGGATCCCGTGGAGTGAAGAGCGAGCGTGTGTCTAGTGAGACGTCCAGTGATTTGGGTGACATCGGTGTCGTCGTGGTTGGTGTTGAGTGAGACTGGTGGACAGTGAGTGTCGGTGTCGAGTTGGGTATTAAGACCCACTACTGGTGAGTGGACGACATTCTTTTGATTTTGGTTAAGGAGCCGATATTATTATTTTGATAATATTATTATCCGATTTATTTGCGAGAGTTAGAGTTGTAACCGTGCTGGTCAAAGCCTGACGGTAGTTAGGATTTATATTAGTCAGGAATAATATTAAAGTGTATCCTGACGGTTCTGGGCAGGTGCTAGAGCGCAAATAATATAATTTAATTGACTGTAGTAGATATTATTTTGCGTTGTACCTAGAGTTAGTTATATTACTAATAACTCTGAGGCCCGACAAACCTAGGCTGCACGATTTAGCGTGCGTAGTTGGAAACACGTGGCCAGCAGGCTAGTAGCATTGACTTTATATCTCTAGCTAATATTATTAGCCTATTAACAGAAGCCCAGCTAAGTAACATAAAGTTGGTAGTGGCAGTAGCAGTAGTAGGGTTGTTATTGTTTATTCATTTGATTATTTTAATTTAACCTGAACAGCTTGTTTGGTAATCCAACACAGCTTGGTAGCTTGGACAGCGGAGTACCGGCTATCAGATAATATATTTATCTAGTGTTTGGAACGTATTTAATATTTATTTATCTGCTACTAAGCTGCTCAAATAATTTAATAGTATTGCAATTGACATATAGTTTTGCTTGTTTAGCTTGGTATTTATTGAGACCAGCTACTAGTGGTGTAGTCACTCTACCTATAGGGCACTTGTATTGTTATCTGGTATTATTATTGAGTGAACTGTTTGATTGTTAGCTTGGGCAATAGAGTTGTGTATTGGATTATAGTGGCCGATTAGACCCCGCCTGGTGATAACGCGCGTTGTGGGTTTTATTGGCAAGTCGTCGTGTAACTCACTGTGTTTTAGGCACTCTGGGCTTAATTATTGGATAGTTAGGACGAAGCCCGAGTTGCGTAGTCAGCAACGACCCCCTAGGAGTGTGGAGAATCGGCGTAGGCCTGGTAGTGATTATTGCACGTTTGTTTTGGTGACTTGTTTTTGACTTGTTCACAGTGCCCGTGTATGAGCCAGTCCTATACCGGTTAGACCCGGCTTTTGGCCTAGTGGTTTCCCTGACCTTATCGCAGACCCTGGAACAATACCCAGCCATTGTAGGCTGAGCTATCCCCGGCAAACGGTTGCGACTGCACGCACTTTTAACTTTTAATATATTTTTCCAGCGCATTGTAGGCTGTGTCGCAAAAGAGAATTAAATAGTTTTCCAATTTAGTCCATTCAAATAAATTCCTAGGCATTCATCTAGATGAAAATATTAACTGGAAGGTGAATCTA